ATTTCTCCATACTTGTCTTTGCATCCAACTTTCCTCAAGCACAACCCCGGCCAAAGTTATGTTTGATTTTGCGTATGAGCAAGGCCCCAGCAAAAGTAATACTTGATTCTGCATATGACTTTACTATACTTGATTTTGCATATTTGTTAATTAAGCAGCGCCAGAGCAATTCACCGAAGCAAAATCCCAGCACCAAAGCAATTCTGGCAAGTCTGATATTACCAACTCCGTAGCAGCAGCTCTCGACAACCATACCTACAAGCTGCAGATATATTTCTACTTGTACAAATGCAACTATGTATATATATATAACTCCCAAATGTATTCATGCACATGTGTAATGCAAAGTATTTTTACAGAAGAACCCTTCGCAATCCTCCTGGGAATGATTGCATCCCCTCATCCAAACACAAATTACACCAGCATAGACCCAGATAGCTAGGCAGAATCCCACGACCTGTTGACACGCGACTGGCTGGAACAAGAATGTACGCAGCCTGCGCAGCCAGAATACGGCACCTCCACAGCGCACTTCACTATCAGAAGCGGGCACCAGCACCGAGCACCGGCACCACCACCCAGCCCAGCACCCGGCACCCGGCACCCTGTCTCTACCACGCGGCGCACAGCCAGGACGCAGCACTGGCGCCCAGTCTCCACCACACGCACTGCCAGCTCACAGCACCGGCACCGGCGCCTGCTCTCTACCACGTGCACTGCCAGCGCCCAGCACCGGCGCCGTGTCTCCACCACGCGCCCACAGCCCGCACCAGCACCCGGCACCGGCACCCAGCACCGGCATCCTGTTTCCACCACGCGCACAGCCAGCTTAGAGCAATCAGCAGCAGCAACACAGCCAGCACCAGCACCCTGCACCGGCACCCAGCACCGGCACCCTGCGCGCAGCCAGCTCATTGTCGTTTGAAAAAGTAAGACAGCACCGGCGCCCGGCACCGGCGCCCGGCACCCTGTCTCCACCACGCGCACAGCCAGCACCCAGCACCAGCACTGGCACCCTGTCTCCACCAAGTGCACAGCCAGCTCACAGCACCAGCACCGGCACCCGGCACCCAGCATCGGCACCCTGTCTCCACCACGCGCACACCCACACAGCCAGCCACCGCGCGCACAGCCAGCTCACAGCACCAGCACCGGCACCCGGCACCCAGCACCAGCACCGGCCTCTCCACCACGTGCACAGCCAGCTCACAGCACCAGCACCAGCACCGGCACCCAGCACCAGCAACCTGTCTCGAAAGCGCGCACGGGCAACTCATTGCTATTTGAAGTAAGAACCCCATAGCTTCGCTATCTGGGGAAAAATGATGTTTTGAACAAACGATATCCAGAAACTGGACAGGAATCAACAGCAAGGAAAACACGTTAAACAAGCTTGCATGTGGGTTCGGATCGAAGGGATAGCATGCTTGTGTGTCTTAGAGTCTTAGAGTCTTATCCTGTTCTATGAGGGCATCTAGGTCCCTGAAGCCATGAGGATGCTACTGTGACCCGCAAATCGACCAGGACGTGCACCTGCAAGCAGTTGACGAGTCCGCTTTGAATGAAGAGATATTAAGAGTTTGACAACCGCTACAATACAACACTCCTCCCAAAGGCCTTCAGCTGCCGCTCTGGAACAAGCCTTCAGCTTGGCCACGCGTGCCGCCAGAGAAAATCCACAACCCCTTACCCAAACGATCCCAAAAGAATACTACCAATTTTCCTGGACCGCACAGCTAGAGACAAAGCCTTCCCATGTCTGTTCTTGGCAAGGTTGAAGAGCTTTGTATATCGGGCTCCGGGCCATATTAGCAAAGCTGCAGAAATAGGTCCCAGAGCTATGGCCTCAGTCAATTCCCTGTAAAAATACACTTGACAAAAACCAGTGTGTGCGCTTGCGGTCTGTCCATGCACTGGCATGATAATGAAATAGTTTCGGCCGTCATGGAGTATGGGTAAAGTGCAGCTGATATGCGCTGGGAATCGGGAGGAAAAAGACTGGTGTAGGAGGGGGCAAGCTGCGGTCCACACCGTTCACACCCCACATGACTTTGGCAAAGTCAGTGGCAACAATGTCACAAGTAGTCTTTGGCGCAGTGCAGTCTTTCATCTGTTGCATGGTAGAATCCCATGGCCCAGGAAATAGAAGGGCCAAGTGCCTGGCAATCCGCGCTCTGAAAGACCTCGGTTCTTCTCAGGAACCAAGGAGAAAGTCACATCACTGTGCACATCTTGGTACCCTAGATTCTATATAACTTGGTGGCCAGCAATCCAAAGGCGTGACTCTTCGTTGGCTCATCATGCGAGGTGGCCATCCGCTGTTTGCTGCCGTCGAGGTTGTTGATTCTCTTTGAGCTCTGGTTGGGTCTGCAAATCTGCTGCTTCCGTTGCTCCGTTGCTTCGGTCAAGCTTAGAATCTCCAATCTCACCTACTGGTAAGCAGTCGCATGCGTGAAGCTGATGTTTTTCGCACTCGAACTGTGAGAGTCCATCAACAACAGCCTTGTCCATGGCTTTGTGGCTGTTTCAGCACACATCACTTCTTGCCCCTTTGGATTCATGCCAGCCTATCACGCGTCTTCTTGGGTAAGCTGAAAAAAAAAGATGCAAAAAAAGGAAACAGTGACGCCTCCTCTTCCAGTCAAGTTCTTGTGCTTAAGCAAGTACGCGTTCAAGCATTATTATCATTGTTGTAAGTAAAGCGCAACCAGTCCACCGTCAGGGTATTTTCCAATGTCTCCCAGCCCACCAAGTCTATGCATCGTTTAAGCATCGGCTGCATCACCGGAGGAGCCATGCTAACTAACTGCTGCGCGCTTTCATTGCCGCGGCCTGGACGGGTTCAGTTCTACCAGAGAAACCGCAGATCTGGACATGTCGATGTTCTCAAAAGTGTCAAGCTCTCCAGTCAAGCCTTCACCTCCCAAACCATCTGCAAATGCCAAACGGCCATAGCCAGGCCTAGCAGAGTGTCTAAGCAAAGAAGCAAAGGGCGGCTGATGGATTCTACACTGACGTGTCAACAGTCAGGGTAATCATATAGCACAGGGTTCTGGCTGTGTTTCCATTCATATGTCTTCAATTGACACATCTACCGCTTGGGTGCGCTGCAAATGTTTAGGTCACATCAGGGCGGTTTAATGATGTCAACATAGAACTGCATGGGCATGCTCACGTGACGAGATGCAACTTTTGTCTGGTCGTTTGTTGAAAACCAATGAGGATGCTTGCAAAACAGCTGCATTTGTGGATATGACAGGCATGCAAATCACAATGGGCACGCTGTGTTCAGGGAGGAATGCGTTGATCACCACCAACATTGATCATCAATGAGGATGCCTGCTTAAGAATGGGCACGTTGTGACCAAACAAACAGGGCAACCGAGACCCCCTGGACAAAAGACAGTCGTTTAAAAAAAACAACAAAAAAAACTGCCAAAGAACCAAAATTACGCCAGCATAGACACCAGATAGCAAAAGAATGCAAAAAATATTTGTTAGCAGCGGCAGCAGGAGAAGCAGCAGCAGCAGCAGCACCCTCCAGCACCCTCGGCATCTCGCAGCAGCACCCTGGAGCGGCACCCTGCAGTGGCACCAGCACTCAGGCTCCAAAGCGCACACAAGCACCTCTTCCTATACTTGAAGCAAGAATCCCAATAGCTCTCGAACGAATGTCTCAACGAGCCTAGAGTGCAGAAGAAATGGCTTCAAACTCAGAACGAAAGCTGGGACGCTGACACAAGTCAAGAAGCCAACAACACCATGTCACAAAATCACAAAGAAATCAAAAGCAGAACGTGCCCCACCACAAGGCAGACGCTCAAAAAATAACTATCACGCAGTCCCTTTTTTTTTAGAGTTCCTGTAGTAGAATTTGAAGCAAATGCGTTGTCACGATGCTAGAAAGCGGCTGCTTTCAGCACGCCCATTGAAAGCCCACTGAGGCCTACTGTAGCTACGTTGCTCTCCAACAATGAAGCCTGTAAGATTGATTTGCAGGGTTGATTTGCAGTTGACAAGCCTCACAGGTTGCAGAAACTGTCATAACTCATAACATCACCGTCCAAGCCCCAGGTTGCGTAAAACCGTGGTTTCCCAAAATGCCTCCGTGCTGCATAGCAGAATGCCAGAATCGCCTGACCGAGTGAAAGCTGCAATCTTAATTCACGATTGCTGTGAAGTTCGTAGTCTCTCAATTGAATGGTGCTAACCTAACTTTGCCAACAATTAATTAGCTGTAAGGTCAGAATCTTGATGTCACAAGTCTAAGCTACGAGGGGTAAAAGGAAGGAAGGTAAGAGATTGATAATCTTGACGAACCTGCGCGTGTCCAGACCTCGGTCGACGCAACAAGTTGGCTCAAGTCAAGCAGCAGCATATGACGATATACGAGTGCTGGCTGGACACTAAAGCCGTAAAGCATACGTCATAAAGCTTGCGGGACACAAGTACTGAGGTGTAAACGATCTCTGCCACAATGCCCTCCATAACGACTGTCGCTTCATTTTAGCCTGACATGCAAGTGTGACAAGCGATCTATGTGTGTGTATGTGTATATATATATATATTACACATGTCTAACAAGGAATCTTGGCACAAAGTTCCGTTTCATTGCCATAAAAAGAAAAAAAAAAACTCCAGACTCAAGCACGTCAGCTTGGCAGATCCAGCTTTAGCAATGGCAAACAATATGACATCCTTGGCTTTGGGATGCAGTTTTTGCTAGCGCTCTTTCAACTCTCTCAGACTTGTACCAAGTCAGCCTTCATGCGACACTGGTTTGCACGCATGTTTCCCACTCGCTGCCCAGCAGAGTCCTCTGTCATGTAATTCTGCCCGGGCGTACGCACACTCTGCACCCAGTCCACGGGGCGTTGGAACGACACATATATAAAGTCTAAACACTCGATCAAACAAGTCCACGGTGTAGGCTCAGCTTGTCTTGTCAAGTCCTACAGAAGTGCATCGAAATTCAGTCCCTGCCAATTTGAGAGTGAACCTCAATCACTAAGGCGGTGCCCTCGACCACCAAAGAGTCGGAAGCCAGCTGGTTCAACTCCTTGCGTGTCATGCGAAGCGTCAACGTGTCATCGACATTGTCTGTCGCTGTCAAAAAGTCATGTCTCAACTTATGCGCACCAAACTGAGCCCAGAACTTCGGCCGGCGTCTCTTGGCTCTCTCAGCTGTCTCGGCTGTCGGGGAGGCCTGGATGTCGCTGGTACCCAATGGCCTCCAAGCATGCCCAGCAGCCCTGGAAGCCGCAACTGGTCCTCCAGCTTCGCAGCTGTGTGGCTGGATGGTAAAGCTCTGTCCAAGCGAAAAGTCCGCCAAATATAAGCGAAAAGGACAGCTGCAAATGTCTCCCATTGCACTGAGCCATTAAGAGCTGACAGCAAAAGTCCAATCGCCAAGGGGTACCACTTCTGTGAAATCTCCACCAGACCCAGCAAATTAGTGCGTACGTGCGGATGTTCCAAAGCTTGAAGGGTTAAACAAATCACAGCTAGGCTCCACGGCCCTTGATTCGATCGGAATTCCGCACAGTATCCAGAAAGTTTACTATAGAGCTTGAGGAAGAGGAGAAACAGCACGTTGCTCCCAGCTGAGTTCATTCCAAGCCAAAGCAAAAAACGCAGAGAGCCAAGTTCTTGCTCTCGTGCTGGAAGGAAGGAGACTGCCATCTGTAGCTCTGTGAGAGCCAGCAAGGCATCCTGTCCACTGCCCAGTGGCCGATATAGCACAGAAAGGATGATTGGTGCCAAATTCCTGCGGTGCAACAGTCTGTTATGTGCTTCGGTGCGTTCAACTTAGGCTAATCCTATTACAGTATATCTAATTGTATCCTCATATCTAATTCCATTCACAATTCGGGTCCTGCGACCGAGCACATTGGCTGTACAGCAAAGGAAGAGTCTCCAAACTGCTGCATCAGTTGGGAGGCCTAGAGAGGATAGCACCAGCGGACCTCCACAGCTAATGCCATAGAGAGCTGCCAGAAGCCGCGTGCCAGTAGGGCATCGCTCAAATTGCGTCGAGAGCGCAAGGCCCATTAGGAGGTTGCGAAATCAAGACTGAGACTGTTCAAAGTTGAAAGACCTACAATACCTGGACCTAGCATGACCCAGCTATGTTCAAGGAGGCAAAAGATGCAGCAAATGGTCGTCTTGCCTTAAACATGTCTGATGTATGTATGTACTCTCAAGGAACAAACTTTACAAATGCTATATATCTGCATTGAACACTGATGGTTGCTGTGAGCAAATCCTTGGAGAGTGGTTTCATATGCACGGCTTCACCAGCTTTCTCATTGGCATCCCTGGACCGCAGGGACCGCAAGCAAAGAGAAGCAAAGCAAAGCAATCAAGAAGCAGAGCGAGCAAGGGTTGGTATCCTGAGTTCCCTACTGCAAGATGCACGTCTTTGCCTGAGAATCAGAATCTCCCCAGCGGTTCAAAACAAAAATCTTTATACACAGGAATCCAACCTACTAGCGATGGCCTCCAACCTAATCCAACGGAGTTGAAATTATTTGTGACAGTTTTTGGTCGATCCGATTTGACATCAGGAACTCACTCAGTCTTCCCTTGGTTTTTGTCAGCTAATAAAATGCAAAACAAACCTCCTCCAGCGCGGTCGATATTCCGCTTGAAGAACCATTGAAGCATTCGCTCCTGTGCGAAATGAACATTTCTGTTGGGTTTCTTCGCACGCCTGTGCGGCGTCAAAGCATGCTCCTCTTGCTGCGGCGTTGCTTTGAGCAAGCACAGGATTTGCTCGGTCCTCAGGGGATTTCACTTGAAAGTTTGTCATTAAATCTCCATCTCCCGATGCTGCTGCAAGGGGATTGAGGGCATACCCAAATTTGTGAAGCATTAACTCCAAGTGGTGCTTGCCTTGCTTCCAAGGGGCTCAGCAACAGCCAGCAAATGCTCGAATTGGTCCTGCAGAAAAAATTGCAAGAATGGCGAACTGAGCATGCAGCAAGCCACCATTGCATCAAAACGCGCTGTATTGATGAGACATTCTGTCAATCAGTAACCGGACAAGAGGGAAGAGAAAACAAAATGCGAAGAAGGGAAGAATCCTCTGAGATAAGAAATCGACACAAAAAATGAGGTGAAGGTGAACGTTAACTAGACGACGGATGGCCCAGGAGTGTGGAAGGAAGAGTATGTAGAAAACGGTGTGCGTGACAAATCTGAAGGGACTGCATTTGGGATTTTTATAGCTGCATTTGCAGGTACCCTACAAGTATATCAGCAGGTGCTGACAAACACCACGAACAAAGATCATCCTATCCATATTCTTCCATGTTTGCCATTGAGTACACGCAGCCGCTCGAGCCACATACCCCAAATCGAAAAATACCTGTAACAAAATTGTCCAAACCTCCAGAGGCAGCAGCTGCGACACCGTGGTTACAGGAAGCCAACGACAAGTGAGGATGCAACGTGTCTTTTTCAACCGTTTGCCTAATGTTACAACACAGAATGTGTATGATATGTAGCATGATTCAACACCTCAGTTAGAAGGACAAAAGCGACAAAGACTCCGAGAAGCATTGAATAATGTGTGCCAAAAATTTCAAGAATATACATGTCCATGAAGAATTTTAGCGGCGAGTCTGCAACTCCAGCGCCTTAACACTTGCAGTTCACAAATTATCAAGAACGCTCTCCATCACCTGAAAGACAACACCATGCAAAACAGTCTGTTGCACAACGACCTTAGCAAACCATGCACCTCACATACCTTACACGGTAAAAAACATCATGTCTTTGCCTTCCCCCAACGGCACCATCTCCAAACGCACGGTCCACCGTAGCCGCGCAAAACCGCACGGCGCCAGCGACATCACAGACGGAATTTTGCCACACAGTGTGCAACAGACAAGATACAACAAGGTACTGTAACATTGAGAATCGTGGGCGCCGCCAATTAGTTCCCTTCCCCCAATGGCACGGACTCACGCCAACGCGCTTTCCACCGTGATCACAGAAGGAATTTGGCCAACAGACCAGATACAGCAATGTAACCTGCAGCACAGTGGGCGCCGCCAATCATCCCTCTCCCCACCGACCCGCCGAATTTACATCAGGATGTTGTCCTCCCCCTGCGCAAAAGCACTTTCCACCGTGGCCGCGCAAAGCCGCAAGGCGCAGCGACATCACAGACAAAATTTGGCCACACAGACCGCAACAGACTAGATACAACAATGTAACATTAAGCATCGCGGGCGCCGCCAGTCATCCAGCTTTGCAGCGACGCGCCAAATTTACACCAGCGCGACGCGCAGCATGCTTTCCTTCACTCCGTGGCACAGCGGCACAGCGACGTCACAGATGGAACGTGGCCACACAGTGCGCAACAGACTATAACATTAAACCGTTTGCGCTAGGCCTCTCCCTCCACAATAAATAAACTCCACGGCTGTGGCCACGACGTTCCGGTGTCAGGGCTAAAGCGCTATCGTCTCACCTTCTCTGAAAGCGCCCACTCGACAAAGCAATGGTGGTCCTGGCGGCCTCCAACGCGCAAATGGAATCTTGAAGGGCGCGCCACATTTCACTTGCAACTTTGCGCCGAAACCCATGGCAGAGGAAATGGAAATCTGCCCCGCGCCTTCTTCTTCCCGTTCAGCGAGAGTAGGGGGTCGAGGGCCGCCCAAGCTCTCGTAAGGTCCCAGTGCCCCCACTCAACCACATTCATCAGCACGGCGATTGTTTCGCCCGTCAACGCTGCGCCTAAAGCGGAGCGCAGGCGCTCTGTTTCAGGGTTTGTAAACTTGCGCTTGAGGCACAAGGCCGCGCCGCCAAACAAAAAGCTCAAATCGCAAGTCAAGATACAAAAGCGTTGTTTATTAAACCGAACTGAACCTTTGATATGCCGAAACCATGGACAAGACCTTTCAATGCCACTAGACTGCGCTTATGTGACCGAGCACTCGACCCGCGCGATCTCCGCAGAGGGTTCGCCGCGGTAACGCGGAATTTGCATTTCATCACGCGTTTGACCACTCGACACGCACGATCCCCGCAGACGGAAAGTCGGAATTCGCATTTCACCACACACATTTAGAGCGCCCGACGACACGCGCGATCTCCGCAGAGGGTTCATCCAGCACAGCCGGAGTTCCAGAATTTGCATTTCACTATAATTTTCCTTGTTCCTGCTGTTCAGGGGGTGGCTACGCAACCAAGGCTTTGGCTGCACTAAGCTTTTGGCAGCCATGAGAGTGATTGGCTTTAGCTTTGGCCATGCGACCGCAAAGACAGTGATTGGCTTTAGCTTTGGCAATGTGAAAGCCATGACAGTGGTTGGCTTGCATGCAGGTTTACACATATATACAATACGTGTTGAAGTGTCTCCATAGACCCACTGTAGTGCTACATAATTTGCGTGTGACCCATAGTATGGAAACACGACCCCTTTTTTCTAGAGCAGTGTTGCTTCAGAGTCATGGGAAAGGACTTGGGGTGAGAACAAAACAGCCCGCGTGACCCGGAGCCTATTTGGGCTGATTTTGACCTGGACCAGGCAACTGCTTGCGAGGTAAGATGGTAAGCGTCTGCGGCGGAACGTTTAAAGGATCCTGTGTTGCGCTAGACCATGGAACAACCCCCCCTGTGATTTGCTTCGACCTGGTCTTCACCGTCAAACTCTTTTGCGGTTAGCTTTGCGGTGTAAAAAACAAATATATACCATCAAATAATACATAGATATATGCTTGCACTGGCAGGGTGCACAATGGCATATGGAAGATTCGCCGAGTGGCCACTGGGATCCTCAACTTGTGCCCAAAATATGTGTACAGGAGCCTTCAAAAGCTTAGGTCAAGAAGCAGGAGCAGGTCTCCACACTCAAGGGTGAGCCTCAATATGTTCAATGTTTTTCAAGTTTGACTCTACCATCAACTCTTCCCAGGCCACTCCTCCCCAGTTGAAACAGCAGGCCTACGCGCACGCAATCATTTGCATTGACACGGGTTGAAGGTGCTTTGCCCGGGGGTGAAAGGAAGTGACAGCGAAGTTGAAGAAAATGTCAGACGCAGTTTCATGTTTGCTTAGAAACACTGACCCTGATCTCGTTTCAGGCGCTCAAACGCAAGGGTGGGTGGTGTTTTAGGCTGCATCTGCGCAACGCCATTGGCTTCAGTCCAAGATCTCACTGATGATGAGTACGGGCCCAATCTTGGAAACTAGTTGCCCGTTGAACTTCATTCTCATTCGAGGTTATAGCGCCCTGATAAGGTATAGCGATGGTTTTACAAACATATAGGTAGTCCGTGCAAAAAGCTTTGGACTTTTTGGGGCGTTTGTTCCAAGAGAGGTGAAACCAACCAAGCAAAGCCATGAAACGGTGTCAAAAACTTGTGTGCGTGTGTGTTTTTTAAAAATCTTTTGAGAAATTTCAACAGCACAGCTAAAACCGATTGCTGTCATGGCTGCCAAAAGCTTAGCAAAGCCAATGCCGTCATGGTTTTCCAATCACTCTCACAGCTGCCAAAAGCTTAGTAAAGTCAAAGCCTGGGTTGCATAGCAAACCCTCAACAGCAGGAACAAAGAAATGTACACCTTTGAGCACTCGACGCGCACGATCTTCGCAGAGGGTCACGTTTCGCAAGCCCTGTCCGGCCAGGCACCTGGCTAAGAAAGAAGAGACAAATAGCCGAGACGCAGCACCCACACGCGAACAAACATATGTTTCACTCTCTGTTAAAGCTTACTTTTGCATATGTGTTTACTGAAGCAAGACCCCAGCGAGAGTTATACTTGATTTTGCATATGCCTTTACTTAAGCAAGACCCCAGCGAAAGTTATACTTGACTTTGCATATGACTTTACTTAAGCACATCCCAGCGAAAGTTATCCCAGCAAGATCGCAGCACCAAAGCAATCCACCCAGGCAAGATCCCAGCGCCAAAGCAATGGTAGCGTAGCAGCAGCTGTACACAACCATACCTGCAAGCTGCAGCACTTCTATGTAGCATGAATACAACTGCGGCTGTATAGGTCGCAAATGTATTTGCACGTGTGATACCACCTCCGTAGCAGCAGGTCTAGAAGACCACACACGCAAGCTGCAGCTGTTTTTCTTCTTGCGCCAAGCAAGGAGTTTGCCGGAGCGCGGCACAACAAGCGTTCCCTTGTTCGGGTTCCAAAAACTACATCATATGAGGTGGCACGAAGCTCGGAAAAAGGCATTTGTCCTTTGCAATGTAACAACTGTGTAAGCCGGTAGGCTGATGGGGCAGCGCCCTTCTTTTCAGCTTGGGGCGGGCTGTGCCCGAGACAATGGAAAGTAACTTTCACCGTTTCAGTTAGCCAGTCCACTCTCGGCCTCCCTTGCCTTCGATATGGTGGTTTTTGTGGGACGCAAGTTTGGTTTTCAAAAATGACCTGTCGGAGAGGAAAGTTTGCATCTGCTCGGAGAATGTGGCCTAATAGACTTATCCTCCTCTCTCTCCAAAAGTCTGAGAGTTTTTGAACATACACTCCATGCGTGTTTGCTTTTTGCAGTACGACTTGGTTGGTTTGCGCTCTATCTATGAAAGTGGATGGTATTTTGAGAATTCGTCTCAGTCCTTCATCTGAAAAGCATCTAGTTTGGTTGGCTCATTTTGAGTGAGTTGGATCACTTCCAGGCTGTACATAAGTTTTGATTGTATGATTGCTTTGAACACACGCAGCTTCCAATTTGTAGTGGTATTCGCCTTGTCCAGAAGATCTTGAGTTGTCTGAAAGTTTTCATGGTCATGGCAATTCTGTTGTATATTTCTGCTGTGTTACTCACAGAATCTGTCAATAACGATCCTAGGTATGCTGCACGACTGTCTCGTGGGACCTTAGTTCCATCTAGATATTTAATTGTTGACGTCTTTTTATTCGTTGTCATGTTAATACACTTTCCGTCGTTGAGTTTCATGTTGTAGTAGGAGGATTCCACTTCTATTTCTTTGAGCAGTTTATTTATTGAAGGCGTGCGGTCGCCAAAAATCAGACTGTCGTCAGCGTAGAGTATTCTGCAAAAGTTATTCCTTCAAGGGGTTCTTTCTGTTTGGGCGTGGACAGCCTTGCCTTTATGTCGGAGAACATCGTGGACATGAGTATGATGAAGAGATAAGGGGCATCTTATGCCTGAGTTTTGTGTAAGCCAGCTCGATTCATTGCAGGAAACTTGGAGTTGGGACTTTCACAAACGCTGCCAATTGACGCCAATAATTTGGGGGGGAACTTCTACCCTACCGAGGGATTCAAGTAGCCGTGTTTGGTGGACTTTATCGCTTTCTCCCAATCCAAAAGAAGAATCGCTAGATTCTCCCCACTAATTTCGGCCATACTCCGCAACCTCCTTGCGAGGAAGATTGCGTGACTTGTGCTCCTGCTCTGAAGTCATATCGCGTGTCCATGATCCATTTGTCTAGCCCTTCGGAGAGGCGGTTCTTGATGAGGGCCGCAATGATCTTATAGAAAGTTTGTAGACGGGAAATTGGTCTGTAGTTTTCAAGCTTACTCGAGCCCCCCTTCTTATACTGTGTAGATACTATTCTTGCTTCGTGTAGTGATGGTTCGAGCGTACCCTTGTCTAATATCTCGTTGACACAGTGAAGGAGATAGGATCTGTTTCTGGAGTCCAGATATTTGGCCAATTCAGCACATAGTAGATCTGTACCGGGCGATTTGTTATTGCTTTGTTTTTCAAGTACTTTGTCCAGTTCTCGCAGCGTGAAGTGGCCGTCGTTGATGGGGAGCCGTCCTTGCGTGAGACACGAGGGGTTTACTTTGAGGGGGGAAGGTTTACTTTGTCGATCTTCCATTGTTCATTTGCTAGATATTCCGCGGCTTTCTGGGGGTATTGCGCGCTGGTAATTCGTCGTCCCTGATTGTCTTTATTTTGGGTCCATTTGTCATCTATTTCCTTCGATTTCTTCTAGTTGCTGCAGTTGGGGGCCTGAACAGTACAGCACTTCCTTACCATTCTATACAAGCGTCTGGTCTCAGCGCGTTTTTGCGCTCTATTACATGTACGTATCAATCTGGCAGTTTCAGATCTCCTTTGTTTTCTCTTCGGTTTGTCAACTTGTCGGTGTTTGCTTCTGTGCGTTATGTTCTTTAGATTCTTTAGAGTTTGCAGTTCTACCTGTGTTCATATTCTGGTAAGATTTGGTTCGGGCGACCTTTGGTTGCCACTTCCGCTTGCGGCGTGGCTTTCCCGCGTTCCCAAATTGGGGGGAGGTCTCTAGGGTAGATGTGTTTGGAGTGATGTGTCTGAAGCGGTTTTTCCTTTGATAGCGGTTTTTTGAAAAACGACTCCTTGGTAATTACTGTGTAAAGGCAGAGACTTTTGTTGGCACAAAGCGCCGGTCTTTGGCTCTTAGCTGTACTCGCTTGGACGGAGCGGAGGTTTCGTGGTAATTACTCTGTAAAGGCATCAGCCCTGATGGCACATTGCGCCTCATCGGTTTTGGCTTGTTGCGCCGCCGTGTCTTATGAGTCTCCAGTTGATACGCGTTTGTCTTTGTGCCTGGGCTTTGGGATCTTGTGATAAGCTGCAGCTGTACTTATAGCATAGAATTACAAGCTGCAGATGTAGCTTAATGCATACATACCAACGCAACTATATTGGACAGACACAGCCAGAAAGATATTGATGCAGACGCGTTACGCAAAAGATTTCTACAAAGGAACCCTTCACAATGCTCCGTGGAAAAACGAGTCATCCCCTGACAAAAGGATTGTCGATACTGGGCTTCGGTTGGCAAGAAATGAAAAAACTTGGAGGGGGTTGGAGATATGGACAGAACGCGTAGTGAACGACGCAAGACGGTTGCCAAGACGAGACTGTTGACATGTGATTTTGGATTGCAGAAAAGTACAAAACAAACTAGAAACGCAAATCCGAATCCTCGTTGGACCGGGTCAATGTTTGGGGTGAGCGACTGCATCTCTGGAACAGGATGGCGCTTTCCTCTCGCTTTGTCTGATTGCAAAAGACGGCGCCTTGAACAGGTTGGACACGGCTGAAGGAACGCAAATAAGACACAAACAGGCCCAACCAACAAGTTCGTTGAAAGGAAGCAGAAGGTCAAACATTTGAATAAGGAAACTCGGGCGGATTGATGCTGAGACGAACACCCAAAGGATTGCGAGATGAACCACGAAGTTATGAATATATAGAAGAACGCATCTCTCTCTATATATATATATAGGTATAGAAAACGATTGATGTCAAACGAAGCCGCGAGATGAGGAAAGTTGATGCTTCAATTTTGAGATTGAGTGGGCGTGATCCGGTGTGATCCGAAGTGAAGATACAAAAACAACATGCATACATACTTGATACGTCGATACGTGTTTGATTTCATATAGCACCTGGCGAACACGCACACTACAGCGCCTCTGCAGCCTGGCAAAGGTCTTCTCTGCCCAGACCACACCTGCACACAGAATCTGACGGAAATGGAAGCTGAGACCATGAGATACCCTGTCATGTCCAAATGAATCCAGCTTCGCAGTTCTCAGCAAAGTCAGACCATGTGGGTGGGCTTTAAGCAGTTTTCCAAGACAAATGCGGCAACCCGGAAACCCATAAAGGCTACTGAATAGTAGCCGCTACAAAGTTTCGAAATCTTTGTCAACGCACGAAGAAAGATCTGGCCCACCTGAAAGATTCCCACGTGGGCACTCGCGAAGCCAAAAGTGCCTTTGTACTTAGGTTTAGCAAAGCTGAACCTGAACAACCTAGCCGCATTAACCGCTACAAGACGATGAAACCTTCACGGCTTAATTATAGTATGCGGAGCAGCCGCGGCAAGCCCCAAGTTCTAACTATCAGGATGTTCTTGCTGTCGCTGCCGACTATCGGGTACCTACAGAACAGCGGACCTCTAAAAAATGACAGTCTTTTTTACTACTAAATGATCTTCCGCCTCAACTTGCTCACAACCAAATGACAGCGCACCTGAAAAAGAACCAAAAATAAGCCACTACAAAATCACAGTGGGACACTACAAAAAGTAACGTTACCGCACATTTGATCACTTTTGAAGCTTGGCATCACTTGGTAATGAAATTCTCGAAATTTAAAAGCAAGCTCAAACTGTAGTAAGCAGAACCAATCTCGGAAAATGATTTCGATGACCCATTTTGTAGTGGCAGCACCTGGCCAACTTGGATGGGTATCATTTCCTAGTGTCTGGTCTTGCGCGATGTTTGCGACACCGCCAGCAAATCCGTGGCACATGATGTGGCCATCCTCAGCTTTGGCTTTGGATCTCTTCAATAGCTGCCTGAGGAGCCATCCTGGGGCACCGTTCGCGACTTACCGCGCGCCACGCGAAATGAGTTGTTTATAAAAGTTGCAAGCCGCGACGCTTGGCCGGCCGCCCAATGAACTTGACGCACCCACAGTGGGGGCGCGATGGTAGCTTAGGGCCAAAGTGACAGTGACCTAGCTACACCTGTGCAGAGCTGCCCACCTGCAACTACGCAGCAACCTCAAAACCGCGCTAACCTGCAAGAACCAGCAACGGCTGGTCCACCCGCTCCCTCGTGGCATAATGCTGCACAGGAGAGGGTGGCAGATTCAGCTTCGCAGCGTCGCAAGTATGTCCCCACTTCCAGATGCACGGGCGAAGTGCTTGAGCCATCTGGTGCTTTGAACAAGGCTTCTTGGCGCCATGTTGCCGGCCCAGTTCCATCCTGAAGGGCAAGGAGCTCCAAGTAGCCAGCTTCATCAACTTTCACTGTGTTTGAACTTTGAACCTACTCAGTTGCGGTTGCTTTGCGCCATTGGAATGGAAGGGATTGCTCTGCCAGCTCATGCTCAATTGCTGGGACGTTGAGTCAAGCTTGGTAAACCCACCTAGCCTATATTCAGAATGCATCCTACATTAGACGAGTTGAAAGAGAGGCATGCTGTAGTACTGAACTGAAAGGTCTGGGTGCCAGGCCCAGCCCAAGGCTTCCCCCTTTCGCGAGCAAATCTCACATCCACGATGGAAAACTCAAACACAAGCAAGCAAAAGCCTATTTGGATTGTGTTCTTGTGGCCACCTGCGCGCGAAGCATCTCTTTGCTTGCCAAAAGCTTGGTGGTGGCCTCCGCGAATTCAATTGGATCTGAGCTGATGAAAAAGCTCAGCTGCTCTCCTTGAAACATCAAATCGACTTCAACTGACTACTGGGTCGAATCAAGTCACCTGCACAGAACATCCCAACGTGTAGCTATTATTGGTCCTCAACAACCCCAAGCTGGGCGCGGGTTCAACAAGCAGCTTGTCAGTACACGGCGCACCAGGACCAACACTGAGCACCGAACGCAAAAGGCTACCCTCGGATGAAAACCTGAGCCTATGAAATCAAATATCAATAGGTTGGTGTCTCAGTAGACTTTGACCAAGTACTCTCACAAGATCTTACAAGCTTTTGAGTGGAGGCCGAAATTTTGTTCCAAATCCTTTTCACTCACAAGGCTTGGACGAAGCTTGTGACACTAGGGTCATCTGGATTTAAGCTTCCACGGGATGAAGCACCCATGCAGCGCTCTTCAAACTTAAACAGACACATATCATGTGTATATATATATATATATCCGCCGACCCCTTGCGACTGCAAGGGGAGCGCGTGAGAGAAGGTACGAGTGCTCAGGGTGTGGAGGGTTCGAGCATGGTCTGCTGTGTGGGGGCGCACGGAGCGGCCCCGGAGATGGCGCCCCAGATACTGGCCGATGTCTGGGAGCTTTGGAGGGAGGGGACGAGTCTCGAAACTTGCCAGAATCGGCTTGCTCGAGGCTGCTCCAAAATGTTTTTTTACGGGATCCGAAAGCGACGTTAGACATCTGGGCCCTTCAAACCCCTCAAACCTCGAGGCTGCTTCAAAATGTGTTTTTGTTTTTTTACGGGATCCAAAAGCGACGTTAGACATCGGGGCCTGCCCTTCAAACCCCTCAAGTCCCCCAAAAGTCTCGAAACTTGCCAGAAGGGGCTTGCTCGAGGCTGCTTCAAAATGTGTTTTTTTACGGGATCCAAGAGCGACGTTAGACATCGGGGCCTGCCCTTCAAACCCCTCAAACCCCTCAAATCCCTCAAACCCCTCGAAACTTGCCAGAAGGGGCTTGCCCGAGGCTGCTCCAAAATGTTTTTTTACAGGGTCCGAAAGCGACGTGAGACATCAGGGCCTGCCCGTCAAACCCCGCAAACCCCTCAAATCCCTCATCAAAATGTGTTTTTTTTATACGGGATCCAAAAGCGACGTTATACATCGGGGCCTGCCCTTCAAACCCCTCAAACCCCTCAAATCCCTCAAACCCCTCGAAACTTGCCAGAAGGGGCTTGCCCGAGGCTGCTCCAAAATGTTTTTTTACAGGGTCCGAAAGCGACGTGAGACATCAGGGCCTGCCCGTCAAACCCCGCAA